GGCGGCGGCGCGCGGAGACGCAGAGCGGCAGCGGCAGCATGTCGGCCGGCGGAGCGCCAGTCCCGCCGCCCCCGAATCCCGCCGTGTCCTTCCCGGCGCCCCGGATCACTCTGCCCGCCGGCCCGGACATCCTGCGGACCTACTCGGGTGCCTTCGTCTGCCTGGAGATTGTAAGTGGGGCAGCCTCGGCGACGGTCGCACCCGGGGAGCGAGGAAGGGTAGCGGCATCCTTGTTCCCCGGGCTGCCTCCCTCTGCGCGCGCCCCAGCTCCCTTCCCTTCGACGTGGCCTTTACCTGCGCCCCTCCCGGGGTCCTGCCCTCTCCCTGCCTAGCGCAGCCCGAACCCGGGCCCACTCGCCTGGCACCTGTTACGCTGGCACCTGTTACCCCGCTGGGGACTGAAGTCGCCCCGAGAGAGCGAGCAGACGGCCCGGCGGGGCCCAGGATTGGGGACTTTGAGAGGGGAAGGGCGTTTCGGCCTGGGGCACCGCCAGAGACCACCGGCGGCTTGGCCAGGGGCCGCGCTTGGCTAGAGCTAGAGCAGGCGCTCTCGGTCTCGCCTGTTGCTAACCTGCCATTTTGTTGGGTGGTGCAAAGGTGTAGCCAGCCGATGATTGAGTGACCTGGAGGCTGCCACGATGTGAAAAGCCGAGGCGGGAGGTACCAGGAAGAGAAGGTGGGCTTAAGACCTGGGCCTTCTCCCCCCACCCCCCTTGTCTTTATTTGTGCCCTTTGGATTGGGGAGAGGAGCAGGGCTTAGGAGGCAGGGCAGGGGAAAAGGTCAAGCATGAACCGTGCCCTTGGCAGTTTTTAATCCAGTGGGTGCTAGAGTGGCAGAGGAAAGGTAGAAACGTGGTTGTCAAGTTCCTCGCTGCCTACCTGGGAACCTTCTGGCTTCCTAGTGGACCTGTGCAGCTCCACACCTTCTCACACACTTTAAATTGGGTGAAGGTGAGGTCACCTGGCCACCCTGCAACCTTATTGGGCTAGAGACTTAAACTTTTTAAACGCAATTTTATGGAGTTGGAAGCTTTTGGAACTCGCTGTGGACCAGGGGAAATGTGCAAACATAAATTGGGCAACTCGAGGTTGCATCACGCTCTGAGAATGGCAAATCCAGAGTGCAGTGTTAGCAAGTCTCTGCCCTTCCTGCAGGCTGTTGTTTGGTTGGCTAGGAGTTCTCGTCTCCCTTCCCTCACCTGTTCCTTTGAGTTTGCATAACCTCGATTTGGTCGCTTCAGTTTCACTTTTGTGCTTGTGGGGCTGGAACGCCTTGTGAGCATTGGTTTTCTGCTCTATTATGCCAAGGTGGCTAAGGCCTGCTAAGTTAAGTTTAGCTCAGATTGGAATCTGAAAAAGGAGACAAGTGAGTTACAGGCTACGACATCAGTAATCGGATCGTGATGGCGAGGCTGGAAGAGGCTGGTTTGAGTCTGAGCCCAGTTCAGAAGCATCTGAATGCTTGGGATGAGGCGCAGGCATCCATGTGAGAAGAGTAGGGAGAGAATGGCACTGGGCCCAGGCTCTGTTGTGTGTGGGGGAGATGCGCTTAGAACAGTAGGATCTGGGGAGAAAGCTTGTATAAGTTCTGGGCTGCTTTAGTTCCGTGTTCCTCAAACTCCAGTAGTTTGCATACCTCTTTTACAAGTTTGTGCCAAATCTGCATTCCACCTGTACTAGAATTTACAGAATGTTCACTTCGATTCCCTTCCTAAACTTTAGTACCTACTTTAAGCCTCATCCTAAACAATAGTACACATGAATCCTCAAATTTGATATACTGGGGGTATTTTTCTAATATTTACTCAAATATATACTTACATATTTACATATGCATGTATATGTGTAAAGATATGTAAGGGTACCTGTATGGATATATGGACGTATATACAAAGAGGTCTCATCCATGTGCCGTCAAATCAAATACTGTCTCAAGGACTGTCCATGGTCTTGTCACACTGTTGGAAACGCTGCCTAATTCTGAGGGGAAAAAGTGGAAGTGATTTATTCTATTCTATTTCCTCTTCCCTGCCCCCATATTTCTTTGTCTGGCCCAGTAGTTAGTTCTCAACTCTGCTGTACTTAATTACTTGGGCAGCTTTAAAAAATACGGTGACTGGCCCAGACTAATTAAATCAGAATCTCTGGGGGGTGCCCAGAGTCAGCCCGGTTCTTCTAAAAGCTCCCCAGAGGTTCTGGGGTACAGTCATAGCTGGGACTGAGAGCGGCCTTTATCAGGGCCCTGTGGACAAGACAGCAATAGTGCAAATATGAATTTTCTCCCTGTGCAAGAGCTTCTACCCCTCCCCATTTTAGTAGGGACCTAGGCTCACAGAAGTAGCCAGACTTTCCTCTTATCTCTTCACGTCGTCTGGCTTCTTACTCCAGAAACATGTCTCGGACCCTTACCTACATAGAATAGCATCACTTCCAAAAGCCATGTCAGTTTACTTTTCCCTTGTTATGGCCAAACATATGTGATAGGTTAAAATCTAGGCCTCCCTTACCTCTTTACTTGAATATCATCCTCCCTCCTCCCCAACCCATCCCCGCAGAAATAAAAGAACCGAAATCGTCCAATGAAACTGGTGACCTCAGAGAAACAACAGACCTCATTGGAGCCAAACTATAGCTCCTTCTTGGCTCTTACCCTTCCCCCCGCTTAGAGATATTGGATTATATGCCCATATATACAAAGAAGTCTCATCCATGTGCCGTCAAATCAAATACTGTCTCAAGGACCATCCATGGTCTTGTCACACTGTTGGAAATGCTGCCTAATTCTGAGGGGAAAAAGTGGAAGTGATTTATTCTATTCTATTTCCTCTCCCCTGCCCCCATATTTCTTTATTGAAGATAAAGAAGAAGATATTGGATTATATTATAAGAGAGCAGAGATCAAACTTGCTCAGAAAATTCAGTCTCACAGATGGTGGGTATACTCACTGTGGTGAGCACTGAGTAATGTATAGAATTGTCGAGTCCCTATGTTGTACACCTGAAACTAATATAACATTGTATGTCAACTATACTTCAGCGTATTTTTTTTCAAATTTTACATAAAGAATTCAATCTCAGTCCCCCTTATCATACCCATTCATAATCTCTCAAGTATAAGCCACTTGTTGAGAGACAATTCCAAAGATGCAAACAGCGCCCCCCTAACAGCACCAGGTAAGGCAATTTATAGCACTAGCTCTGTAGGTAGAGAAGATTGCAACCACACATGCATGGTGTGCTTTTTTGAGATAGGTGTGTTCCACTTCCAGATATGTAGGTTGTCAGCCCCTCAGTTTTTGCACCGAGCTATGCTTGCCATGAAGACCTTAATACTAAGTTATTTTTGCAATGCAAAGCCCTTTAGTTTAGGAGGGAAAACATCACCTTCAAAGTTACATTTTCAAATTCTCTCAGGGTTTCCTGAATTATTGTTTTCTAAGTCATTTGTCGGATATTTATTGAATACCTACTGTGTGCAAGGCACTCTTCCGGGAAAAAAAGATGTTTAGACCTTTCATCACCTGAAAGAACATATAACCTAGTTGAGATGGTATGTGTAAAAATAACTACCATTCAAGGAAGAAAGATAGAAGTATGGAAAGTGAACTACAGCTAAAGTGTTTTCCAGGCAGGTCTGTTCATAAGAAAATGACATCGGAGCATCTGTACTATTGGGCTGAATAAGATATTTTGGGTCCCTGTCCTCAGCTTACCTTGTATAATGCACAAGAAAGATTAGATGTAACAGTATTAAACATGGAAAAGAATAAAGGTCAATATATTGAATTCAGTGTGTTTCATGGTTTCGGTGTTTGGGAAACTGCCCACGTTCCCCAAGATATTCATTAGTGTTTTTCTTTATGGGAGATATTCTAGGACTCGTATTCACATGCTTCAACCTGCAGTGTTGTGGATGTCCCAGTAATTTTCAGTTATTCAAGAAATAGTTAAGAATCTGCTATGTATCGGGCCTTATTTTATACCCTGAAAATAGGATAGCTCCTGCCCTTAAAAGAAATTCCTGTATTGTGAAGTATAAAGTCAAGAAAGAATTATAGTGCTGTATTTGAAGTGATAAAATTGGTTCATGAAAAGTACTATTGAAAAACAGGGTAGAGGGGTGCCTGGGTGGCTCAACCGATTAAGCATCTGACTTTGGTTCAGGTCATGATCTCTGGGTCCTGGGATGGAGCCCAACTTTGGGCTCCCCGCTCAGTAGGGAGTCCGTTTGTCCTTCTGCCCCTCCCCCCACTCGTGCTCACTGGCTTGCGAGCACTCTCTCTCTCTCTCTCTCTCTCAAATAAAATCTTAAAAAAAAAAGAAAAAGAAAAAAGAAAAACAGGATAGAGCATGTCTGCCACTGAGGAGTCCAGGACAGACAGCTTGAATGGGATGGTGACATTTGAGTTTAGTCTTAAATGATGAGTACACATTCAATAGACACAAAAAGTGGGGAAGAAAATTCCAGGTAGAAACAAGGGCATGTGTAAACCCTAGAGACGAGACACACCATGGCATGAAGGTTCTAGCGGTTGTTAGTTTGTTTTGGTTTTTTACATAACTTGTGGGAAGGTGGCAGAAGGAGAAAGAGCAGGTAGGGCCTGAGCTGTGATGTGCTGAGAAATGGTAGGCCAAGGCATAGGATGGGGAGCTGCTGAAGGTCAGGGGCATTCGCCATCATACTTGTGTTTTAGAAATCTTTGAGTAGTGAGGCTTGGCTCTAAAACAGATTGAAGGCAGAGAGATCAGCTCAGGGGCTTATTTCAGTGGTTTGAATGAGGGATAATGACAACTTGACAAATGAAAGAAGTAGAGAAGAAGAGAGACAGGTTTGACGTTTAGAAGGTCAACCAAGTACACAAAGTTTGGCGTGTCCTGAAATGATACTAGGCCAGACTTAAATATAAGATGTAACTCAGAGGAATTATGCCAGAAAAACAAATGTTAACGAGAGGATGATGGGGAGGGAGGGGCTCTGGAGTAGGCATGTGCAGTCATGTGGAGCAATCTGTGGAAGGGATTTCAGGTTATTTTCAACCCAGAGCTTTGACATTGGACTAACATATAAATGGTCAGATGTATAGAGTTTCCTTTTCTTGCCCAGAAAATAGAATCTGAGTTGCACAGGGACATTGTATGTTGGCAGTGGTAGGAGGAGCTCTCTGTGGAT